CAGCTCACGATAAAAAGGAGACATTTCAATTCGGCCAAATTTAATTGTGTAAATTGAATAACGGAATAACGTCAGAAGTTATTCGAAAGGTTTTATTAACGTTGTTCACCCGCCATTCCGGCGGTTAGCTGACTGGCCGATAAAATTGGGTTACCAGGCGGAAATCTTAGTTTAAAGATAAAGAGCAAAGCCCAGCAAATCTGCAGGCTTTGCTCTTTATCTTTAAACTAAGATTTCCGCCTGATGTTATTTAATTTGAAAATAAGGCCGTTTACCCCCAATTTTTATTTCTTAAAAGGAATTCGTTTAGTATCTCGAATCATTGTTATATGATTTTTAAAAAATTCGTTTAGCGAAAAAAATATTGCTACGAATTGTTTCATTTTTCGATCCTGAACTGAAAATTTTGTCATCACAAAATTTATTTTTAAATCACGAAAATAATACAAAATAAAAAGAAACATGCTATAAAATAATACCACAGATCTTATTATCGAGTTAAATTACTTTCAACCGAAAATATCCGCCATATTGGTATTGTTGCCATAGCAACGGCTGTTAGGAGTGTAAGTTTTTAAAAACTCGAACTAGTTATTCTAACGATACCAGGGGCAGAGAACTAAAATCCTACAATTGTTTGTTCATAGCCCAAATGTTGTATTCTTATTATTTTCAATAATTTTATATCAATTCATGTAAAAGGGTCAAAATTAAATATCTAAATAATATCTACCTGTGGCTGGCTACACGTTGATATCCCGAATGGAATGCACATACATTAAAATTGTTAGATCAAGTGCATTGCGCTCCTTCGCATTCGCATGCACTTCTCGCTATTTGTCCATGTTCTATGTGTATGGAACTAATAAATTCTCGTTTCCCGAACAAAACTATAAACTAGCGGCAATCACGGTTCACGGCTAATTCCCCGCAATCCAGATTCTTTCTCTAGCCCTATCACTTTCAAAAACGTTCTTAAACGCAGATATTTAGAATTTCTACGCTCACTATATGATGTTGAACTATCCTGTACTTGCTCCTTGGTTCATAGAGAACAGCGAAAATAAATCTGTTTTTTAATCGTCTATCTTTAAGCGTTTGTGTGTAACCAGTCCGTGTGTGTTTTGTCTGTGAGCGTGCGTACGTGTACTATGTGTATATAACTGTACATATAATGATATATTTGGACGCCGGCAGGTGCCTTGCATGGGAACTTTTCAAAAGAGTCCCGTTCGTACCTTGCCTTTTTGGATCTAACTTTAAAATGTCTGCGTTTTTACTGTGCAAATATTTGTCTTTTTTGCATATTTGTATGTACATTGGTCCAAATAAATTTGTTTAAAAAAAGAAAAGAAAAAGAAACACCCGTCATTTTTTGTTTCACAGTTCAGGCAAACAGCGAAGCTCAAGCATGACCAACTCTCAAAGCTTAAATACAGCTTTATAAAGAGGTTATGTAAAACGTACAACATTTGAAAAACTTTGAATTTTCGGTCAGGCCAAATGCAAATTGTATGTAAGTCAGTCTTTGTACGATAACATGTTTTTTAATATAATAATACCTAGAAGACTGCTTACCGCGAGCCAATTAGGGGGAATGTCATGCATAAATTGTACATTGGGCAATTAGTATTCACTCAGTTTTCTTTATCCGGGAGAACAAGACAAACATCTTACCAATTTCTCATTCAATTTTCGTCCAAATTAAAAAAAAATTTAATCCAATTGGCCTTGGCCCATTATCATAAGGCGTTAACCTGTAATGCGAAGTTTTACATTATTCTCCTTCGCAGATTATATGTCATATAAATTTAGAAAACGTTTATAGAGCACGTTTTACTGTAGCTTCGCACCTTTCTTGAACCAACAGGATGGTAAAAAGTCCAGCCTCTGTCATGAGCGTTGCAATCATGAAAGCCGTGAACAAGTGTATGTGTTAAGTGGCAGTTTGGCATATTCTTCTGGCGATTTTTCTTCAGAAAGTTGTACCCAGCACAGAATGGATCATGCAAACACTTCAGACCACAATCAATCTGGAAATCATACGTCTCTTCAGATAATATGATGCTTTTTATCAAAGGACAAACATCTATGGTATAAAAATATTTATCACACAAAGAATTAGTTCATCAGTTTTGGACTTTTTTAATTGAACAAACAGTAGCATCACCCACCATTCCAATTCGTTTATATACCTGTATACCAAGCTATTTATCAACTAAGGGCGTCTTTTGAATTGGGCACTATAAAAATACTTATACATACTAACAATAACAATAATAATTATAATTATAATTATTAATTAATTATTAATTATTAATTATAATTATAATTATAACAATAATAATAATAATTATAACAATACTTAGACATTATATTGGTGAATGGCATTGGCTTTTTGACTAAAATTCTCATGTATTATAGCCAAACGTGGAATTATTTTAAATTTAGTAATGTCATAATTTTCGACAATTATTTGAAAACATCAGGAAAACTTGATGCGTGTCAGAATGTGAGTTTCCTATCCATTATTTTTATGATCCATGGTAATTAACAATACGGCTAAAAGAGTATGTATGAATAGTTCACATATGTATGGCCACAAAAAATAATATATTGACTGATACCACCAATATTTCACGGCATAGGCCAGCACATAAAATGCCCTGTTTCAAAACGCTTAGCGAGACCTTTAATTATATCCTAGCTATATATAGAACCTTTAATATATTCCTCCATCATTTTCAGTGATCTTGCAAGATTCAAACATTGTTTGAGTAAGGAACATGACCAACCCACGCCGTACTTTTCTTGTTTCGTGAACTGTCATGATGCATGCAGTGTCGTTCCAAATTTTCGCTTTTCGATATTACAAAAATTAGCACAATTAATTATTTTTATTGCTTCACGACAAAAGCACCTTTATTAATAATAATAATAATAATGATAATAATAATAATAATAATAATAATAATAATAATAATAATAATAATAGTAATAATAATAATAATAATAATAATAATAATAATAATAATAATAATAATAATAATAATAATAATAATAATAATAATAATAATAATAATGAAAACTTTAATAATTTTGTTATATACTATATATATATACAATTGTAAATCTCACTAATTTACGGTAACTTACAATTGGTTATTTGAATCACAACTATATGAACTAATAAAAATGATAAGACAGAATACATGAAAATATATAAATATACAAGACAATCAGATATTTCAAATAGTTAACAAGTCCGGACTTTCCCATTCCTTATTTCGGCAGCAAAAAATATAGTATGTACTTCGAATGGCAATAGTCATCATTTTCCTAACACAGTACGTTTGGTAGTTTTTGTCCAGACCAACATTTCCTAACATTTCTACGAATGTAGAGCATTCTTGCGCAAACATCCCTAGAGAGCTCATAAAAAGATTTATAAAGTTTACTTCGTTAACATTTTCGTCTAGTTGTTTTACTATTTCTTTATATTTGGCTTTTTTTCGATTAACGTTGTTCTCGAGGTTTGTCTCATAGCCAACAGTGAGCTCGACCACATAAAGAGAGCCATTTGATAACGATAGCAACAAATCCGGGCGATACGTATCACCAGTTACTAGAAAATACATGCATGCAGAAACCCTCGCCTTGCTGACAAAATCATTGTATTTTCCGAACATGAAGCACTGACATGTAGTATCTAAAGTAGTTGTCATGGTAACACGATAATTTCCTAAGAATATTCTTACAAATCAAAAATCGCTTAAAAATATCACTTTTAATTACAAAATTATAAATTTCCCAACATATATATGTTAGGTATGATATTATACGTAATATAAGCTTCTATTTAAGGTAAAATTCAATCACAAACGCTTCGCAAAACGTTTTAAAGTGTTCTTTATAAAACTAAACTGCCTTTATTCTTTAATTAAATGGCTTTATCGATAAACTTTGAGTTTGCAATAAAATGATTTCAAATTTTCGCATGCAATTAACTTTGCTTTCTTTTTTATTTAAAAAAATTCAATATAATAAAAAAGGGAATCAATATTAAAGATACAATGAAATGGGATCCGATATGCTGTCTTGTTTAGTTGTTTCATATACCCAAAGGCCGTCGGGTTTTAAAGCAATTATAAAATCAATATTTAAAACAAACTTACCTTTGTTAACGTCGGCTCCCTTCTTTTCGCCGATTCTTTCGCCATTTCTTTCTTGAAATTTACAAAATCTTGCAAAAATGCGACCAAAAATGAAATATATTTGCAAGAAATTTATCAATCATCAAATAAAGAAATGTTTGCTATTTCGCTGTCGTCATGCAGTCGTTAAAATGCAAACTTTAAATTGGACCAATCACAGTGTTCGCTATTCATGACAGTCCGCCATATTTTTGAGATCAGTGAGGATGACCACCCACGGTTGGTGACCCACGCCCGCGATATTTGATGAACTTTAGACTTCGCTAATGCTTTCGTTTCCCCGGGTGTAGATAGCCGGGGAGAATTAGTACCCTCGCACGGCGCTTCGCGCAGTCGGCTCGGGGATTATTGACGGACTTTTGAATCCAGGCACATCAGCGTAGAGGGCAGAACCGCTCACAGTTTGCAAGGTATTGGGAAGGAAGTTCAGGATTGAATTGTGTCTCCACGTAAATCGATCGAGATAACACTGACATCCAGCGACCACGTGCAATAGCGTATGGTAAAGTTATAAATGTTTTTCGGACGTTTTGATTGAGCAGTAGACCACACTTTGCTAAGATGCGACAAGGAGAACTTTGTTCCACTAGAGAAAAAGGATCCCTGACAAGTTAATTGATTTTGGAGTTTATCTTCATGTTCAGACCGAAAGTCTTTAATCACTTCTTTGGTTGAGTTATAAAAGTCGTATTGGATATTAGTATGAGTATTAGTAGATTTCCACAGTTCGTTGATTGATTGATTTGGGGAAAGTTTTAAAGCTTTTCGAAGAACTGTTTGGCATTGGATAAATTTCACCGATGGAGGATAAATACTTTGACCAAATTTGTTGCGAGTTAGAAAAACAGTACTTAGTGTTCCTGAGATTGGAATTTCGAGCCATTTACGGATGTGCTGGTTGACTACGTCATTAACGAAAGTGGTTAGTTCAGTCTTATGGTTATCGTTCGACATATTAAAATCAAAGTAACGTCCTAACTATTGAAATGCTTCTCCAATCTTTACTGTTGGTATCAGATTATTGTTGATGATGAGTTTCGGCAAATATTGGACTGATTTTGTGATGGCTTTCTTGATGCCAAATGTACTACATTTATCGACTCATGCACTGTTAATTTCGAGGAGTCAAATTGACTCCAAAAGTGGAGTAAATAAAAAAGGTACAGAACGACTCCTTTTTTGGAGTAAATTTTACTCCCTTATTTACTCCATTTTTGGAGTAAATTTTACTCCATAAGTAGAGTTGTTTTTACTCCTCAAAGAGTAAAAACAACTCTACTTAAGGAGTAAAATTTACACCAAAAATGGAGTAAATAAAGGAGTAAAATTTACTCCAGAAAAGGAGTCGTTCTGTACCTTTTTTATTTACTCCACTTTTAGAGTCAAGTCGACTCCTTTGGAGACAAAATGACTTCTATATATCGGAGTAAAGAAAAGTCTTTAACTAACTTTAGAAATCAATAAAGACATTTTTCGAGTCAAAATAATTTATTATCCCTACAAGTAAGGTATATTATAGCAGGAAATACAATTTTCTGTAGCATAATATAATGAAATACTCTTACGCCCTATAATATTTTAATGAAGTTCTAAATTGATTAGAATGATATCATGAATACATGATTAGAATGATATCATGAATACATGTGCAATACAATTACAAGCCTGTCAGCATCACTGAGCTATAAATATATGGAGAGCGCAACTATAGATACAGAAATTGAAGCCGGAAGTCGCGCGCGGCCGCCATCTTACTGTGACCACCTTGAGGAGTGAGCTATTGTGATTAATACGGTATTTTCAACTGTTTTGTTCTGTTATCTCGCAATAGAGGAACAAATCAAGTCAAATATGGTATTTTAACCAAAAGCACATGTTCAAGAATGTTGGGGACCTCTTTTACATTCAAATGAACTCAATCGTAAAGAAACGTGTCTATATTTTTGACGACGTTTCTGAGTGCGACTGAGATGAATCATGAATACAGCTGTGACAACACCTTTCAAATGGGAATTTCTGATAGAGATCGGTGAATTATACCATAAGTTAACACATGAGAAATTGGTCATGAACTTTATTGTTTTGGAAATGGTGAATTTTATATGGACAAGACTCATATTTGTTTCTATCAACCTAATCAACGCAAACAAATTTATATGTCGCTTGTGGGATTTGTTAAAGGAACAAATGATTCAGGATGGTAGAAAGAATAGCAGGTGCGTTGTAGTGATCTTATTTATGTTAATGTGGGTGCTTAAACGCAATGTCTTGTGAGAATATATACCATCCCATCCCTGCTTGTGTAATATGTTCCTTAATATTAAAGTCATAGTCATGATTAATTATCACTCTTCTGCTAATCATAAAAAAATGTATTGGTTATAAAAAAATGTTTGTTGACTGAATACTGCAACCTGCTGAGATCATTTTAGCTTTGTCTTTTCTTCATGGAGTAAATCAGGCTTTTAGGTTTCAAGAAATTGTGACATTGTTAATATATGTTCTGCCCTCAATAATACAGATCAATTAATAAACAGCATAATATGTATATTTTATGAGACTGACTGCTGCCTTGACACACCTACGCACATTACAATTGCATTAAAATACACTACAGTACTGCTTACAAACTTTTACTTTTAGTAATTTTACAGTAACAGTACTTTTACTTTAGTCATTTTACAGTAAAAAGACAAAACTATTAAGAAACGAATGAATTGAGGGGCCGACCATTTAACTTTTCAGGGGGGGAGGGGGTGATTTACTGCTGGCAGGGAGTTTTTTTCTGGGATCATGTGCAAGTTTTTTTCTATCCATCACCATGTATGATTTTTTTCCACTCTTTCGTTTTTTTCAATAGCTTATACTATTGGGTCATTCCAGAAAACATCCATACCACCCCCACAGAGGAAATAGGAAGTTAACCCCCCTACCCCCTTCGGATGTCCTAATACATTTACTGTTATCAGAAACAATTTTTTCTCCCCTCCGACGAGAAATTTCCTCCGTGGGGGAGTATGGATCTTTTGTTGAGTTTTCTAGCTTCATGCATTGCTTTTAATAATACATATTGCTATGAGATATATAACATTTGGTTCAGGGCCTCTTTTAAGGCAGGGCCAAGGAAGCTCTTTTCGATTGGGGGGGGGGGGCTGAAAGCGAGGGCCGAAGGCCAGGAAATTTTAAATGTAAAGTCTCTGAAGTGCCATTTCCTGGACTTTGGGGAAGATTTGACAGAATTCTGATGGTCAGAAACCAGTTTTAGTATGTTGAAATTTACAATTTAGTAGTACTAAATGGACGAAGGCGTATTTAATGAACTATATATTGGATAAGTTGCAGGAAAATATGGGTAATATCTTCATCCTTTGCAGTTTGTCATGGATTAAATGATAAAGGTCTGCATGATTTTCAAAATGATTATTAGCAAAGGCCCTGTAAGGATGTGTAACTGGAAGGGACATATTTAGCGGGGGACTTGGAGAAGTTCCAGTCGGCAAGTATGTGTTGCTGCAGCTACTTGCAGCATATGTATGCATAGTTTAGCTAATAAGTATGCACCATAGGGCAGCAGATCAGGCCATAGTGATACCTAGGATTCTGAGACAACCGAGTCGACCATCAAAGGTGGGTGCCTCTAGAAGGGTCAGTTTGTTAGTGCAGGTATTTTTTTGTTCAGAATAGCCTTTTCAACCTGCATTTTTGTTACAACCATTTTTACCTCATACAAGGCAGTTAAACTTTATTTGGCAAAAGACACTAAATGAGTATTTGGCAACAAACTACTGGAATTTCACACAGATCCTATTAATACTAGAGACCCTTTACAATTAAATTGTTTTTACACAATGCAATATAATGCATATCTACACATGCAACTGAAAGTAACTGTTTGCAGCATTGTTCCATCTTCACTTTATACTGTCTCTATAGGATCTAAAAAGCACAGAAATGAGATACCATTATTTTACAACTTTCAATTTCTTTCAAATTTATTAATTTTAATTTGCTTCTTTGGAATAAAACACCATTGAGATCTTCTCAGAAGAGTGATAATCATGACTATGACTTTAATAAGGAACATATTACACAAGCAGGGATGGGATGGTATATTGGTATATATTCTCACAAGGCATTGCGTTTAAGCACCCACCATTAACATAAATAAGATCACTACAACGTACCTGCTATTCTTTCTATAACCATCCTGAATAATTTGTTCCTTTAACAATTAATCCCACAAGCGACATAATTTGTTTAGAAGACCTCAATGGTGTTTTATTGCAAAGAAGCAGATACCCTGGA